GGGAGTACCTCGCAAAGACGCTAGACCGGCCAGAGGCGGCGCAGAGCCTCGGCAATGGTACCGCCGTGCGCGGGCGAGGGGTGGCGTCTTGACATGCGCGGGCAACACGGCCAAGCACCGAAGCGGCCATGCCATGCGTGCTGCTCGGCGGGGGGGTGGTGGTTGTGGCGTAACGCGCCACGACGGCCAGCGGCCGCTTCTTGTTGCTCGGGCACCGGCAAACGTGGGCCGCGGTGGGGGTTTTATTCGGCTCTGCCACGCCACGAATTAGGGCACGACACTGTCGCGCCAAGATCGGTGGCACGGTAGAGCCCTGCCACGTCACCGGTCGCGATTTCGGTCATCGCCATGTCAGCGCGCTGCCACACCACCATGCATGGCGCGGCATAGGCATTTGGCCGCGCCAGGGCAATAGGCACGACCAAAAGTGTTAGTTTTTAAAAAAAACCGCAAGTGTTAGATTTAAAATTGGTTTTAATAAAGTTTTAAAATTAAAAAAAAATGCCAGCGCTGCAGGGCGCCGTTGGGAGAGGCCGGCATCGCCTTGGGTGAGCGCGTCTCCGCAGACGCTCACCAAGGACCTGCATGTGCCGTGGAGTTCGGCGGCGTTCGTGCGGGTGGTGAGGACAGGCGGGATTAGTGATCCACGGTGCTAGACGCAGTCACGACATCGCGGGATTAGTGATCCATGGGTGGACATCCTGATCGACCATGACGTGGGTTGGTTTCTCACACTGTCACACACTACAGTTGGAGCTAGGCGTTTTATCACGGGGCTGGCCATGCTGGCGTGGATTCGTTTGGGCTGGTTTGGCTTATAAGCCATGGCTGAAAGCACTGTTGGCTGGTTTGGTGTAAGAGAAAAGTATTGTTCGTTGACTGATAAGCCATGTCTTATAAGCCAAATACGAGCAAGCGATAGGCTGTAGTTCACAAACGACGCACGCCTGCTCGCGGAGGCTGGAATGGCCGTGCACATGGCAGAGGGCGCCAACGCCGAGCAGATGGCGGAAGTGATCGCTTGAGAAGGAGGGACCGGGAGACTGTGACCGAGCGTGCAGTGGAGCTGGTCCGCGAAGAGGCGAGAGGGAGACTTGCGCTGTGGTGGGGAGACCGATAGCAGAGGGATACACGACGATGACGTGTCGACATCAGTGTCCATGTTGTCCATTCTACGTAGGCAAAATGCGCTGACATGGAGGACATGGACTTAAGGTGTAGCAACAAACAACTTTAAGGACTCAAAAATGTATTTTTAAAGTTTGTGAACCTAAATAGCACATTATTACAAGTTCATGGAGACCACTAGTGTATTTAACTCTACGTGCTACTAGTGGCTTTGGTGTTTTGAAGCATCGGCAGAGCAATGTCCTTGCTTGCTTGCTTGGGAAACAAAATGATGGTAGGAAGATGAGAACAGTGTCCTCTTGCACTGTGCAGAGTGCAGAAGATGCGTGTCCGCTGAACCTTTCCACAATGAGTTAGTGACAAGCCAGGCAAAGCCATCAGCCAAGAAGGGCTTTGAAGGCTCAGCTCAGAGGCAACTTATGGGGGTGGACAAACTGTGCGCGCTTCTGTCATCTGGAAGGGACAGTAGATGATTAAACTACGTTGAGTTCCTCCTCCAAAAGTTTACGTTTTATCTCATCAAATATCTAGACACATGTATGAGTATTAAATATAGACTAAAAAATAACTAATTGCACAGATTACGACTACTTTGTGAGATGGATCTTTTAAGCCTAATTAGTTCATGATTTGACAATAAAGTGCTACTGTAACACATGTGCTAATGACGAATTAATTAGGCTTAATAAATTCATCTCGCGGTTTACTGATAGATTATGTAATTTGTTTTTTTATTAGTATCCGAATACTCCATGCGACACCTTCATATAACACCCAATGTGACACCTCAAAACTTTACACCATAAAACTAAATAAGGCCCTATATGGGGGCGTTTGAGAAGGCGGCCTTGTCTACTGGCCACGGGTCAGCCCTACACAAACCTCTAATCATCATCCATAATAAAAAAAAAACCCAGACATGCTTAATGGTTGTAGCCTGATGTCAAGTGTCAAGTCACTCTCGGCTTAATCACCTGGTCGGCTACGTTTGGCTGGGCTTGTTCGTTGCTGGATCGTGAAGAAGTACTGCTGGCTGGTTTGGTGTGAGAGAAAAATATTGTTCCGGCTGAAAATTTACGATCATTTACGAGGGAATAATCCCAACCGAACAGGCTGCAGAAAGTATGATGGATTATCGAGTGGCCAATGTCGCTCATGACTTGTTGACCTCACCACCCATGGAGTGGTCGTGGGTCTAGGTCAATCTAGGAAGGAGTTCATTTCTAGCTATAGTAGCTAGATCAAGGTAATAAATAGCCGCGATAGCGCCCGCAATTGCGGTAGCGGCCCATTGCTGCTACTGCTATGAGGTAGCACTCTGTACTCTGCAGTGTGGAACTTTGCGGCCGCAATTCTGAATAGCGGGGCGATATTGCGGCCGCAATTGCATGGAAGCAAATAACCCTAATCAACCCAGCCCACTACGACTCACGCCCCCAACTCAAACACTCACGCATCGGCTGTAGCCTCCAGGTCCAAGTTCAGGCGTTCTTTGAGTATAATTAAATGTCTATTTATATTCATTATTCATGATATATGTACTTAAAATTATGTGGGATTATCGGGTGCCTCTATTGGAACTTATCGTCTGCAATATCACCCGTTATCCACAATTCGCTACCTCGACGTCAATCCGCTACCAACCTGCTATATGCTATTTATTACCTTGAGCTAGATAAGTGTTTGTCCAAGTGCATAATTAAAAATATATTTATCTTAGACGGAGGTGATGGTATCTTATGATCATTGTGGTTGCTTTTGTGCTCAGCAAATGCAAAGAAAGAAAGTTTATCCGACAGTTGGATAAATGAGCTTTTTAAAGTTACATGGAGTTGTTAGTTGTTAGGTTGTCATATACTCGTACTGTATGATTTTAGGCATTATTTTCTATCTAGTACTTATAAAACGACCAGCACTTTTTTCTTCCAATAAAAACTACGAGTAATATTTTGCTCCCCTTCTAGAAAACAAAACACTTCTAAAAAAAAGAGCGGTGCGATGGCGAGTGGTCAGTGTATGATGAATTGGCTAAGGATCTCGCTATATAGAAATTTTTATAGGAATTAGTTCATTTTCACATAAAGAAGTCATAGTGACAAAACAAACGTCATGTTCGCTTGGTTTATAAGCCGTATTTTTTCAGCTAACGAACAGTATTTTTATCTCGCACTAAATCAGCTAACAGTACTCTCAGCAGCTATGGCTTATCAGCCAAGTTTGGTGGCCTTGGAGCCATGCATCTCGAGAATTGTGCAAAGACCTTTCATCTACATTGGCGATGTCATACAATAATTAGAAACACCAGCCTTTAAATTTGGTGGACTATAATAACCGTCATAAATAAATAAAAAACAATGGTTATTTCCTGAAAAACTATCCATTATGAAAAATAATAATACTAACTCTATAAGTTGGCATCTACATTAGAGCAACTCTAAGAGCTCCTTAAAAATCACTTCATAAATCAATGATTAGGCCAAGTGAATAAAATGAATACAAAGCTCTATTTTTTTTTTGAATCGTTCGCTTTTGCTTATAAACGGCTGGCCCCTGGTGGCTGCAGCTGTTTTAGTTATAGCAACAGTGCCACACAGCTTAAGCGAACGATTCATTTGTCTTTCTCAATAGTAATTTCCAATAGTTGACATTCTACAACTCAAAAACTGAGTGGGAAGCGGAAAACGGAGTGGGGGTGGGAAAACTGGTGTAGACGGGTGCCTAAACCAATCACTTCACAAACTAAGACCTCTCAACTACAAACTTTTCTTTATCATAATTTCTTTTGTTTTTAATGTAGGAAGAGAAATGATCGGATATCTTATTTAAATATCGGATAATCCACGTAATATTTGCAAGTAATCTATATCTATTAGATTTGCTAATTCTATACTCTAACCCGAGTACGCATACAATTGGATCTGGATTATCCGTATTCGTATAAGGCTCTCCCCATTTTTTAAATTCAGATTTGCATAGGATGATCCACATAATATTTATAAATAATATATATTTGTTTGATTTTGCTAATTTATATCGTATACTACAATCGAATTCGAAAGTACTCCCTCCGTACAGGAAAGAATACAATTCTAGCACAGTGTCATGGTTTAGTATCTTAAGTTCGATCAATTATAGATAAAAAATATCAATATTTATGATATCAAATAAATATCATTATTAGATTAATCACGAAATGTATTTTTATAATAAATTATTTTAGAGCTGTAAATGTGAATAATATTCACTAGAATTTTGATTAAATGTAAACCACTTTTTCTGACGTGTAACTCGTAGTTGCATTCTTTTCTGGACGGAGAAAATCATCAGCCCTCCACGTTCTCAAAATCCGTCCTCAAATTTCGGATTGAGATACAGGAGAGAAGTAGCCGCGCCACTTTCACACTCACTGTCACACCTTTCCAAACTGCAGTGGCAAGCAGCGACTCATAAAGGAGCTGACAACAACACGGCGGTGTACGCGAAAATCTCTTGAAAATTTTCGTCGCTGGGAACGCGTGCGGCGCCATAATTTCGCAAATCTGCACCCTCGTACGAACCGCGAACTGCGAAGCAAATGCAAGTGGCAACACTGTACTACTTCTGAGCTGCTGCTGCCAAAAAAACGAAACAAATTCCTTCCGTCCTAAACGAGCTTAAACCCTGATGAACCATTCGTGCTTATAACATGAACACGTTCTTAGAAAACGTAAACAGAGAGCAAATCAAGGTTAACGGCGCCGTCCCAGCAGCAGCCTCCGCTCCTCGCATCCCAGCCGTCGACGCGACGGCGACGCACGGCCTCGGAAACCCCAAAAATTCTCACGAGAACCAACCCACGGAGGGAGAGGCTGCTGGCGCGCGCGCGCGCGTATTTACAAGCAGTTGCTGGCCGGCGCCGGCGGCCGCGGCTGGGATGCCAGCGGGAAGCTGCGGGTCGCCGCGAACAGCGCGGCGAACGACGAGGGCCGGTGCTCGCCTCGCACGACGGGTGCGGCGACGGCGGCGGCGTAGGAGGCGGCTGTGGCTGTGGCAGGCGGCGTGGATGATGATGCAGGTGGTGCCGAGGTGGAGGCAGGATTGGGGCCGGAGGCGACGCGCTCGCAGGAGGGGCACATGGAGAGGGTGGTGGCCGGGAGGCGCATGAAGAAGGGCCGCGCCGTCTTGAGCGCGCGCAGCTCCGCCAGCTCCTTGTGCAGCCGCCGGTTCTCCTCCGTCAGCGTCTCGCAGCAGCGCTTCAGGTACTCGCAGTCCACCTCCGTCTGCTTCAGCTTCGTCCTGCATGACATGGGCGCGTCGATTGCCGGCCGGAGAACATAAGGTTAGCTGAACTGAGCAGCGCTCCGTGGCCGCCGGCTGGACCAGCCGGAGGGAGGATATCAGGAGCAGAGATTTTTTTTCCCTGTGCATGCACCTACCTGGCTCGGCGGTTCTGGAACCAGACTTCCACCTGTCGCGGCCGGAGGTTGAGCTGCTTCGCCAGCGCCGCCTTATGCTTCTGCAGGCCGCCGGCGACAAAGGTTGGTTAGTCTCGACGTCAAGACCAAGAAGGCAAGTTTCCATGGATTCTTACAGGGTTGAGGGTGCTGTGCTCCTTGAAGCTCTCCTCCAGGAACGCGGACTGCTCCTTGGAGAGTCGCAGCTTCTTGCGCGCGGACGCGCCCTCGTCCTCATCGCTCGCGCGAGACGACGACCGCTCGCCGCCGCCGCCGCAGCCGCCGGCCTGCGCCCCGCCGCCGCCCTCGGCGTGGGCACGTATGCCGCCACCCAGGTCCAGCGGGAAGGAGCCCGCGCTGTCGTCGTTGGGCGACGAGGACAGGGCCGCCGCCGCGCCCGGGTCCTCCTCGTCGTCCTCCAGCGCAGCCACCGACGACGGCGCCCGGTTCACGTCGAACCCGCGCGCCGCCGGCGCCTCGCCACGGCCTGCATGACAGATGCCTGCAGACAGGAAGAAGAAGAACGGCGCGGTCAGTCACGGCACCACCCAACAGAGAAACCAAGAATCCAGAGCGCGGAGCTAGCTAGCGTCGGAAGAAACAAGAACACACGGCTCTCACCGGCGTCCGAAGGCGGCCACTGAAGGCCGAGGCTGCTGGACACGAGGCTGAGCCGCACCGCCGGCTCCGGTGTGGCCGGCGCCGCCGCCCACCACCCCGTTCCCGTCCCCGCTGCCCTGCTTATTCCCCTCCCGCCCTCCTCACCCCCTCTTCCGGTTCCGGTGGCGCTGGCTCCAATCCCGACCCCAAGCCCGAGGCCCAGCTCCGGCAGCGCCCTCCCGGCGGCGTCCGGCACTGGCGCCTCGCCCAGGCTCAGCCCCAGCTCCATCCCACCAGAACCAAGAAACAGCACCGCCCCCGGCAAGCAGGAGCAGCGAGGAACGGGAGCAGCACCGTCCCCGCGTGCGATGCGAGGGGACACTGATAAGAGGAGAGCGTGGCAACGGTGTGGGAGAGCTCAGCCAGCTGAGTGACGGAGGAGAGGACCCGTGTTTGGTTTGGTTTTGACTCCTTCGGGACAGCGGTTTGACGAGCGCACGTGAGTGGAGTGGCCCGGCAAAAGGGAGCAGGCAGGGGGGATCGAATCATGAGGGCAGGATTTAAAAAAACAGCAGGGCGATGGCAGCATGGCATGGCATGGCATGGCGATGGCATGTAGATGCAGCACTGCACAGCACTGTGCAGTCGCAGCGAGGGCGGCAGTGGCAGCGGCAGCGGCAGCGGCAGCAGCAGCCACTAATAATTATGTTATAATCATCATCGTGGGCGGGGGCGGGGGCGGGCGACGTATCTTTCCCCTTTCGTTAGTAGCGCCCACGATCTTTATCAGAAAGCTGGGAGGTGCAGATGCAAGCTGCTGCCACCGTGCTCACCCGGCGCCTCCATCGCCCCGGATGTGCGTATTTCTTGGAGATCTCTATTTCTTGGGGAGCGTATAGTTTTTGTCCCAGGTGCTGCCATGAACAACTTGGAGCACAGCTTCCTTTTTCACTATTTATATTCTTTCTCTATATCAGCCATTGCCCCCGAGACAAAACATTACCAAGAACAACCATGATGAATCGTCCGATGGACAAATAAAATAAAAATGTTCTTAGATTTCCTAATTGGACACCAAAAGAAGTGTCTATACTACTAGCTTATTATTAGATGCAGCTAATTATGGCAGACAGCCATGCCATTCCTCAAAACACGTGTATTTCCTTATACATGGATTTGACTACATGTGAAGTGGATTACCTAGTATGAACTAGTCTTTCAATAACATACATGGGTAGTTTAGATATAGATTTAATGATTTGCCTTATGCCACTATATATAAAAATGCAAAGAAAAAACCCTAAGTTTGCTTCCAAATTATCCACCTTTGCCATTACTTAAAGTTACAAGTGGCCCTCTATCTTTGCATCTAAGTTACTTGTCACTATAAAAAAAAACCCCCAAAGTGTTTATATTTGTGCTTCTAAGGGCCTGTTTCAATCGCCTCTGGATTATTAGAATCTAGATTGTAAATTGGATTGTATTAATTTGAATTGTGGATTATAATAAATGTGTTATTTGAATCCCTATATTATATATTTGCTGCAGTATACTAGTAGGATTTAGGTTTTGTAGCACCAATAATCTTCTATTAGTAGGCTTGAGATGGATTATATTATTAGAATAACCTGTTGGTTGGGCAATCCATAATCTTGGATGTTTGGTTCATTGAGACTTTTTTTTGTCCGATTACTATAATTCAAAAGTGATCTCAATAAGCCCTAAACTATACATTTGTACCATTATCAATATAGAAAAACTAACTCAAGGAATGCATAAATGATGTATTACACGAAGCAATAGCGATACCTCTATCTCCACGTCACGCGCATATCTCAAGCTAAAACTTCAACTAAGCAAATATCATAGAGTGTTTAGTAACTAAAGTTTATTGCAACCATAAAAAATATATGAATGTATCTCTATATAGTTTTGTGTTAGAATATGAACAAATGAAAGAGAGCAAATACAAAGAAAGTTCGATCAGCTATGCCTATGTGTGAATAATTTTATCCACATGGACTAGTTTGTATAATTTTTTAGGGTTCCATAGGGTTTTTTTTTCAGGAGTGGATCTATATAGATTGTATGTGTGTGGATGGACCCATGAAAAAAGCGATAAAACAGTGATTATGATAAAATTTTCACCATATATGTATTCCTAGGGTAAAAGTCTATGTACATCTAAGACACGCACACCCCTCTCTCACATTTTGTTTTACCTCCGCCCTTGCTTTTGGTCATGGATCGGTCCGGGGTAGCTTTGACCATGGTGTAAGGTACTTTCTCCGGTTTCCTAAAGAATGTCTTTTTGACAGCGACACGGCCTCAAAAAACAACTTTGATCATTACTTTTTGCTATAAAATATTTATAAAATATAGTCTATATATGCTTTTATGAAACTACATTTTGAGATGAATCTACTTACATCACTTTTATATTTTGAAACTTAACTAAAAAAATTTATTTGTAGTCAAAGTTTAAAATGTTTTTTAGAAAAGGGAATATATTAATATCCTAGCTTCTGCATCGATCAATGCATATGGTTGTTCCTTATTACAAACAAGAATGAAACGGTCCAGGGAATCTCAAAAACATAGTTTTGCGCCATAATGGTAAAAAGACCAAGTCCGCTACTGGAAAGGAAGTCTATTACTAAAGCTCCAGCCGTATCTTGCAAACACATCCATCATGACTGTCTCAATGGTCTTACAACCCATCTTCATCAAATGACGATCCTCCTCCTCCTTCTGTAACAGGGACCAGAACTTGGTCCAGTAAGTCCCCCTGAAGATAGCCTGCAAGTAAGATGGTGCTACAGCCTTGTCAAACACTATATCATTTCTAGTTAACCAAATCGTCCAACAAATTGCACTTGCACCCACAAGGATCTAAGATTTCAGTTTTCTATTTATCCCTTCCAACCAGCCTATAAATATATTGTGTACACTAGTTGGCGGTAATAAATTAAAGGAAACATGAACAATTCTCCAAATAAACTTAGCAAAATGACAGTCAAAAAATAAATGTTGAATAGACTCGTTCGAATAACAAAAACAATATTTCCTATCTCCTTGCCACTGTCGTCGTGCTAAATTATCTTTGGTTAGAATTACTCCCTTGTATAAGAACCACATGAAGACTTTGATTTTTAGAGGTAGTTTTAGTTTCCAGATGAATGTGTTATATGGTATAGCTTCTGCTCCTAATAAAGCTCTATATATCGATTTGACAGAAAACAACCCATTCTGATGTAACCCCCACACAAAGCGGTCCCTCTGATTTGTTAGTTGTACATTTGCCACCATAGCCACTACATTGTGCCATGCTTGCAAGTTAACACCCGCCAGAGATCTCCTGAAGGCTACATTTAACGGTGTCGTAGACAACACTGATCTTACAGACGCATTTTTTCTTCTCACAATGTTATATAGTGTAGGAAAGCGATTTTAGTGGACGCGGTCTTATCCACGAGTCCTCCCAAAATCGCACTTGAGACCCGTCACCTAAATCAAATTTACCCAATGAAAGAAACTCCCTCTTGACCTTCATAACGCCAGCCCAAAATTGAAAATCCCCGGGCATGTATTGAGCCTGCGTCAAACTTTTGTTCCTTAGATATTTATTCCTAAGCAATTGCTACCACACCTCGTCTCCATTCATTAATTTAAACAACCATTTGCTTAGGAGGCACTTATTGTGAATGTCTAAATTTAGGACTCCCAACCCTCCTTGGTCTTTCGGTGTGCAAACTACCTCCCACTTAGTCAGTCTATACTTTTTCTTATGTTCATCACTCTGCCAGAAAAACCATGATCTATAGTAATCCAACTTCTTCAGAACCCCTCTCGAATTTCAAAAAGGATAACATCAACATAGGGAGACTACTCAAAACAGAGTTAATTAGAACAAGCCTTCCTCCTACTTACAGCATCTTGCTCCTCCAACAATTGAGTCTTTTTTGGAATCTTTCCTCAACATATTTCCAGTCCTTATTCAAGAGCTTTCTATGGTGCATAGGAATTTCTAGGTATCTAAACAGGAATGATCCTATATTACACCCAAAAATTTGTGCATATTCAATTTGATTGGTTTTGGCCACCCCGTAGCAGGACAATTCATTTTTATGAAATTGATCTTGAGTCCTAATAATTGTTCAAAAGCACAAAGAAAGAGCTTCATGTTTTTGGCCCTCTCTAGATCATTGTCCATAAAGATAATAGTATCATCCGCATACAAAGGACCGAAAGTCCCTCATCTATCAAATGCGGAACAACCCCTTTCATTTGTTCAGCCTCTTTAGCTCTTGAAATAAGGACAACCAACATGTCTACCACTATATTAAACAAGATCGGAGATAATGGGTCCCCTTGACGCACTCCTTTCCTTGTTTGAAAATAATGGCCTATATTATCATTGACCTTTACTGCAACACTCCCTCTAGAGATAACTTTCGCAATCCAATCACACCAAGTTGGTGAGAATCCTTTCATTCGAAGAACTTGTTGTATGAAGGGCCACTTTAGTTTATCATATGCTTTTTCAAAGTCTAGTTTTAAAATGACAGCATCTCGTTTTTCCTATGCAACTCGTGAATTGTTTCATGCAAAATTACAACACCTTCCATTATATAGCGACCTGGGATGAAAGCCGTCTGAGTTGGCCCTATCAGTGTATCTACCACTTTTAATAATCTGTTATTTAGTACTTTCGTAAAAATCTTAAACCTTACATTTAAGAGGCATATTGGCCTATATTGTTGTATTCGGACCGCATCAGTAACCTTTGGAAATAAAGCAAGTATCCCAAAATTTAAACTATGAATAGGCAGTCTCCCGACATGGAATTCATGGAACAGGCTCATCAAATCTGGCTTCACAATCTCCCAAAAGACTTGATAGAATTCAGCGGGAAAGCCATCCGGGCCAGGTGCCTTGTTGTGTTCCGTATCGAAGATTTTCACTTTAACTTCCTCCTCACTGAATGGAGCCGTCAATACTTGATTCTCCTCCTTCGACACTTGAGGTATATCATATCTCAAAGTCTCGTCCATAGAGAAAGAATTTTGTATATGAGGTCCAAACAGTCCTTTATAGTATTCAGTTATAAAATTTCCCAGGCTCGCATCTCCAACAATAATCCCTTGTTCCTGTTCTAACTGTACATTTTTGTTTTCCTGTGTCTCCCATTTGCCACCAGGTGAAAATACTTAGTGTTATCATCCCCTTGCAATAACCTTGTTACATTTGATCGTTGGAGCCAGTAAATCTCCTCCTCTCTTAGCAACT